CCCAAAAAGGGAGAGGGGCACCAGTGGGGTTGGGGGTGTCAGTGATGATTGTGGCCACTGTGTGTGGGACTTTGTGTGCCGGGCCGAGGTTAAACCTTTCATATAAACTGTGATCTTTTAGCCTCCTCACCGTACAGGGAAAACAGCAGGCTCAGAGAAGTTATCTTACTGCACGCAAGAACCGCATCCTTTCTGTGTTGGCTACGAAGAAAATAAGGCCAAGATGCCCGTTCCGTGAGGCTTGCATTAGTAGAGGGAGTCAGTTAATAATAATAAATAAGGAACTTAGCTTTAGATAGTCATAGATTGAGTGAGATGGATACAAAACAAGGGGGGGTGGCCCTACACTGGGTAACGATGGAGGAATATTCTTCCAAGGTGATGACATTTAAAACAGGGGTGGGGATGGAAGTATGCCACACGTATAATATTTGTAGCAAGTGAGGGGCAAAGCTAGGATTCAGACCTTCCTGGGCTGTGTCCAGGGTTGGAACAGAAAGGGAAGAATGGGAGGGGTCAGGTATAGGAGGCCTGTGTATGGGTAGGCTCTTGGGCTCTTTCTCGAGAGATACAGTGTGTCGTTCGGGAGGGGGGGGAGGGGGATTATGAGCTTTCCTGTCCCATAATGAGCCTGTGGGATTTGCTTAAACAGAAGGGAGGGTGCCTCTAGAGACAGGCTGTCTTGATTTTGGAAAAATATGTCTGAGTGTTGGGCTCTAGAACAGAAGCAGAAAGGCCTACTTGTATTTAGGGGCTCCAGACTGAGCCAGGAGCAGGTGGGGACAGAGGCCATTGCAGGGACCTGGGCTACTAAAAGAAAAGGCCTGGCAGCTGGAGCTGTTGACATGGTTGGTCAGCCCCATGAGCACTGTCCTGGGAGGCCTCAGCAATGTCGGGGTAGGAGGCACTTGAGGAGGCGTGGGTGTTTAGGCGTCACCTCCGAGGACTGGGGTTGGGCGTTCTTCCTGGAGGTTTCCAGCTGTGGCTACTTCTTCCATTCTCTCTCCCCAGTGTCCCCCGAGCGCTACAGTAATGGCAGTGCCGCCTCTTCTTCCAAAAGCGCAGAGGGCAGCTGCCGGCGTCGGCGACAGCCAAGCAGTTCTTCTCAGCAGAGTCAGTGGGACACGGGTGAGTCCACCGGGTGGGTAGGGTGACAGTGTCCCTGTCTTCTTCCCGAACTGGCATCCTGGCCCATCAAGGAAACGGCCTGAAGGGTCATTCTGACTGTTTTGCGGTGTGTCTGCGTTTGTTGTCGCTTATAGGAAGAAGCGTGTGCCCTGAAGTGGTATCACGTGGACCCATGTGACCTGGCAGTCTTGGCTGGGATTTATTTTATGGTGAATGCCTTTAATTAGTTCAATTACTGTATTCCAGTTAGAGTAAACAATCCCCTAATTTTTAATTATGTGAAATTTCAAACATCCAGAGAAGTTAAGATAGTATAGAGAATATCTTTGCTTGGATTCAGAAATCACTAACATTCTGTTGCTTGTGCTGTGTGTGTGTGTGTGTGTTTAGAAAGTTGTGAAGTTTTTGGTTTTTTGGAGACAGGGTTTCTCTGTGTAGCTTTGAAGCCTATCCTGGCACTCGTTCTGGAGACCAGGCTGGCCTCGAACTCACAGAGATCCTCCTGCCTCTGCCTCCCAAGTGCTGGGATTAAAGGCATGCGCCACCAACACCCGGCAGTTCTGAGGTTTTTGTTGAGCTCTTTGGTAGTAAATTACAGACAACAATAGACTTGCCTCTGAATTAGCTGGCATAATTTGAGAATAAGTTTTCCTCTACCCTTTGAAGACCATTATCACGCCTAAGAAAATGGATATTAGTTCTCTAATATCTTCATGATCTACTTTGAGACGTCTTAAGATATGTGTGGTTTCAGAGTCTGTTTATATTGTTTGCTGTGTATGCAGCTTAAAAAAAAACAAACCCTAATTATTACTTTGACATGGAGTCTCATTCTGCAGCCCAGGCTGTCTTGGAACCCACTTTGTACCTGGAACTCATCTACAACTAGAGCAGTGGTTCTCAACCTGTGTTTTTTTTGGGGGGTGTTGTCAAATGACCCTTTCACAGGGATCACCTAAGATCATTGGAAAACACAGCTATTGCCGTTATGACTCATAACAGTAGCAAAATTATAGTTATGGAGTAGCATCGAAAACGATTGTATGGTTGGGGATCACTACAACATAAGAAACTGTATTAAAGGGTCACGGCCTTCCTTCCTTCCTTCCTCCATTTCTTTGTTCCCGGGCTGGACCTGCAACCCAGTCTGTATTTAACTGTCTCTGTACCACTTAAACCACAACTCCCATACCCCTCCTGCTCGGCCCAGAGTGTTCTGTTTTTGACTTGTTCATCTGTTGATTGGTGGGTACAGCATTCTGATTGCTTCTGCTTGTCACATGATGGTGTCTTGTCACTGTCCCTCTATCTTCCCATGGAGTGGTAATTAGGTGTGAAGGATTGGTTAGATTTGGATTACATGTTTTTGGCAGGAATGTTCCTTGATCAATGCTTTTCCTTGTGTTGGTGCCTGTCTTAAAGTTTTCACTGTGAATAGGGAAGTGTGGTTAGTTGGGTATGGCAAGATTTGTACGGTGTGTGTGTGTGTGTGTGTGTGTGTGTGTGTGTGTGTGTGTGTGATATGCTTCGTTTATGTTTTTGTTTTTGTTTTTCGAGACAGGGTTTCTCTGTGTCTTTGGAGGCTGTCCTGGAACTAGCTCTTGTAGACCAGGATGGGCTTGAACTCAGAGATCCGCCTGCCTCTGCCTCCCGAGTGTTGGGATTAAAGGCGTGCGCCAACGCCCGGCGACATGTAACTTCCTTGCTATGGTTACTAGTGTGTAAGAAAATGCTTTTTAGCGTGCTCTGTGTTAGCTTGTTCCTCCGGGGGGTATCGCATCGCTCTGTGAACCCTGCCTGAACCATTTACCATATTAACGTTTGTAAATGGTGACTCATTTATTTATTTGTTTGTTTCTTTGGCAGCTTTTATGAAAATAGACTTGAAACAGGTTCTTGACTGCCCAGAGTTGAAGGAGTTGCTTCAGCCTACCTAGTAGCTGGGATTACTGGCTTGTGCCATGAGGCTAGAACAAAGAGTCATTTTAAAATTTGTCCTGGTTTTGTTTTTTATTATTTCCTGTTTTTATGGTACTAGAGATGAAACCCAGGGCTTCGCTCATGCTGGGCAAAGGCTTCTATGCCCCGAAAGTCTCACTGTGGGATTTTAGGCAGGAGCTCTACAACTGAGCTACTCTCTAGCCCTTCTTTTCTCTTTCTAATTTAACAACAGGGTATCACTAAGTAGTCCTGGCTAGCTTGAAACTCACCTAAGATCCCTCTGCCTCTGCCTCCTGAGTGATGGAATCAAAGGCAGGTTACCACCACTGCCCGGCTTTATTTACTTTATTAGAGTCAATTAGTCATTCTTACCAGCCTTCAGATTACTTAGGCTCTGCCCTTTTGACTTGACTTCGTCACTCTTGAATGCTTTGTGCTTTGTGACATTCCAAGGTGTTCTGGGCTCAGCAGAGTCGTATGCTTGTCAAGGAGCCTGGTTTCTGTTAGAGGCCTGGATATTTAGAGACCAGTAGCTGATGTGGTCCTGTGGTCTGCATCTCAGCCACATGGGGAAGCGAACACCTGCTTTTCAGAAAAAGTTCCCCCGAGCTGGGTTTGGTGGCTCGTGCCTGTAATCTGGAGGCTTTTAAGTTTACTTTGAATTATGTGCACGTGTATGTGTTTGGATTTGTGCACTGCAGTCCTGGTCCTAAGGAGTCCAGAAGAGGAACATGCACAGTAGCTGCTGAGCCCTCTCCTGGGCCCCTGGATCTTTGCCTTTCTAGTGAAAGTCTTGTCTGCTGATACTGAAATGGGTTTACTTCCTTTGTTTTTCAACAGTAATGAGGTGACAACAAATTTTATCTGTAGAGGTTCATTTGTTCCTAACGTATTCTTCCAGGGCTTGCAACATGGAAGGACTGTTTTGATTTCCTCTTGTCTGCCAAGAGCTGCAAACTGTACACATTCATTTTGTTACATCTTTTCTTCCATTTTTGTAAACTTTTCCAACTCTGCTTTCCTTTAAAATCTTACTCTGTGTGTGTGTGTGTGTGTGTGTGTGTGTGTGTGTGTGTGTGTGTGTGTGTGACAGAGCATGCTGGGGGTGCAGTTTTCATGGCACACACATACAGAAGTCAGAGGCCAACTCTGGAATGGCTTCTCTTCCCACCTTTTTGTGGTTCCAGAGATTGAACTCTGGTCACCAGGTTTGAGTAGCAAGCTCCTTTACCCACTGAGCCATCTCTCCGGCTGTCTCTTTTGTGTTATTTTAGTTCTAAGGCAGGGTTTTGATGTGTAGTCCAGACTGGCCTGGAATTCCTTGATCTTCTAACTCAGCCTCACTCCCCACGGTCAGCATCTATTGGATGGAGCACAAGATCGGTTTGTATGTATTCTGAGTGAGAGTGTGTGCGTGTGTGCACACGCATGTATGCATGCATGAGTCTTGAGACAGAGTCCTACTATGTAGACCAGACTGGCTTTAAACTCACAGGGATCCGCCTTGAGTGCTGGATTTTTATTTTATTTTAATTTTTGGTGTTTTGGTTTTTCGAGACAGGGTTTCTCTGAGTAGCTTTGGAGCCTATCCTGGCACTCGCTCTGTAGACCAGGCTGGTCTCGAACTCACAGAGATCCACCTGCCTCTGCCTCCCGAGTGCTGGGATTAAAGTGCCCAGGCCACTGCTTTGTATATGTAGTTGTGCTTTGGTCAGATCCAGCTTCGTGTGCTGTCACAGTGTTCTAAGGTATCTGCCCTAACTCCTTCATCAGAATTTGGCATTACCAATTGTGAGCCCTTAGGCTTGTTTGTTTCTGTTTGACTTTATCCCTTGCTTCTTTTCATTTTAAATATATAAATGACCCAAAAGGCAAAGCTAAAAGCATTTCAAGGTGTCCATCTGCAACCAGTTTCACTTATTTCTAAGGTGTCTTTTCAGGGCTTCCAGGAAAAGTAACACATGTTCTGGTTCCCCTCTTGTGGAGCTGTAGATGGTACACATGTATTAGTCTGTATTTTGGCATTCTTTCTTCTGAGTCTTGAGCTGGCTCTCCTCCTGTCTTCCAGGCTCCCCTCCAACCAAACGGCAGCGTCGGAGTCGGGGCCGCCCTAGCAGTGGTGCCAGGCGGCGGCAGAGAGCAGGGCCGGCAGCGGAGCAGCAGCAGCACCAGGAGCTGGGCAGGCCCTCATCAGAAGGAAAAGTGACCTGTGGTAAGTACTCGTGGGTCTTGAGAGAACTTGTAAAGTGCCCATGGTAGACTACAGAGTTGGAGGGTGACACATTGCTTTCATCTGGGATGGGACACCTGGTGGACAGGTAAACACTCTGTGATATTCTTGACTTCTCTGGTGCTGTCCTCTGAAAGAGCAAATCACACACACACACACACACACACACACACACACACACACACTCCCTCCCCCGGCCACATGTGCAGCCTATTCTGATGCAGGGAAAGGTGTGGTGGGGATAGAGAATCAAGGGGATAGAGAACCAGGTCAGGACAGGTTGCCAAATTACAGCTTAGTTATCACCCCCAAGACAGGGTCTCACTATGGCTATCCTGGCACTCACTCTAGAGACCAGGCTGGCCTGGAACTCAAAGGGATCCACCTGCCTCTGCCTCCTGAGTGCTGGGATTAAAGGTGTGCGCCACTGTGCTTGGTTTTTCCCTAAGCATTTAAAGAAGCTGCCTGACTGTGGGCAGGTGACTGAGCGGGTGGGGTTTATGTCCCCAGATCTGTACAGTAAGATGACAATGGTCCTGCCTGGAGCTGTTGTCCGAGTAGACAGCCAACCACATAATCCACTTGGAACAGTGCCTGGCACAGGCCATGTGTGTGTGAGGTTTGCTGTCTAGGGCTTGTATCAGGGAGGCCCTGTCCCTGAAGAGCTGACCTTGCAGCTAGGTGACAGTCCATTGGCACTGGAATTGCTGAGGCAATGGGAGATGCTCTCTAGGGTCAGTGGGGAAGCCAGCCAGGCCCTAGCAGAAGGCTGGGCAGCTACATCATGGTTAGGAATTTGCGTTTTTGTCTATGCTTCTAGTTTCATTTTTTTTTTTCCTTGTCTGTTGAGATAGGCTTTTGTTACGACCTAGGATTTCCTGGTACTCGATGTATAGTCCCAAAGCTGGCCTTGCCCTTGGAGTCCTCCTGTCTCAGCCTCCCCAGTGCTGGGACTGTAGGTGTGTGACCAGCATCCTGGGCTCTCAAGATCAGTCTTTGCCCTTGAGATCTTTCACTGTGTTCTGAGGATGAGGCTTGGGGAGGACAGCTCTCTCTGGGACCCCCTTCCCTGAGCTGGGTAGACCTGGGGGCACAAAGGGAATCAGATACGGTCTTCCAGACTCCAGTGTCTAGGCTACAGGAACACAGATGAGGGAAACAACAGCCAGGCTGGTGTGACACGGAGTCACACTAGGGGAACCTCTAGTCTCTGTAGAAGGACGAGCTTGAGGAAACTGTTGAGGGAGCTAAGAAGGTGGCCTTGTCTGACTTCTGTGCAGTGTCCCATGGGGTTGAGTGTTGGAAGCAGAGGCTTTGTGGGTGGAGACAGGTGGGGCCTTGGAGGTCTGTACTGTATTTTGGGGTTACAGATCCCCCAGATGGTTCACTTAACGGTTTCTGTCCCATCGTTTTTCCTGTCGAGCATCTCTTCTTCATCATCAGGCACTCACTCACTGTTCTAGGCATTGAGGACCCAGAAGTAGACCAGGTCCAGAAGTCCTGGCCTCTAGGAGTTTACATAGTAGTGGGCTCAGTGAATAACCACGAGTACACAAAGGTTCCATGTGATCTCAGCTGACCTTCGCGAAGCCAGGGATGGGCCAAGTGCTCTGGTGGGCCTGCAAGCACTCCCTGTGGAGGGACAGAGGCCAAGTGATGCAAGCAGGAGTCCTGAGTGGGAGCCATCAGATGAGCAGCCAGACAAAGAAGAGGTTCTAGAAGCTGGAGGTTACAGACAGCAGCTGATGTGCCGACCTCGGCAGGGCTGGGGCAGACTCCAAAGCTGGAGGATGGGCTCTTGTGAGGCCTTGGCCTGGGATCCACAGAGCAAGCACAGCACACGTACCTGCCTCTCCCACTGCCGTGTGGCCTCCCAGGCAGTGGGTGTTGCCCCCACTTCAGAGATGAGGCGGCAGATACCTGTGCCAGAGCACAGAGCATAGCCAGCTCATGTCCTCACAGGATGCTGGCTTGAGGGGGTGGCTGCCCAGTGAAGGGAGTCAGGCAGTTACCACAGCCACACAGCTGGCTGGGTAGGTTAGGGAGCCACTGCCCTGAGGGCCAGAGAGACCTGAGCAGGACCATCCAGGCTTCAGGTCTCTTCCCTGAGGCCAAAAGGTTGTTAGTCAGGGTGTGGCTAGGATCTGAAGGACCATGAAATGGTCGTCGGATGCTGAGTCACCAAGCAGGGTGGGGCTGGCTTGGGTTCTCCCTACTGGGGCCCCAGTTCTGTCTTCTGAAAAATGGGGATGATTTACCTTTAACATGGCAGTGAACCCTTCCGGGTCTGACTAAGGAAGGGCCGGGTCATTCTTACATCAACATACCCAGTCAGCTGCCACCTTTGAGAGACAGGACTGAACTAAACTACCGAGTGCTTGAGGGTGTGAGGAGGGTAGTTGGGACCCTGGGTCCACACACCTCTCAGGGCCATCCGTGGACAATGCTTGTCTGACCTCCAATTTTCAAGATAACTTGAAGCAGGACCTATGTCTACCATTCTGCCTTGGGAATGAAGGCAAAGGAAGGAGGTCGTGGCAGCAGAGCTGGGCTTTGTCCCCTCAGTGTCGATAGTGTCTGCTGGGGCCTCTGCTGTCTTGAGCTGGTTTTCTGATGGGAAGAAAAAACAAATGAGAGATTTCAGACAGGAAGCACCCACATGGGGGCCAGCTGGGGCAAAGCGTGTGCCTTTGGTGGTCACGGGGTCACGCGAGGGTTTGATGGAGAGATGGGGGAACTGCCAAGAGGAGAGGGCAGCCAGGCAGGGCCTTGCAATGTAGCTCCGGCTACCCTGGAGCTTGCTGTATAGACCAGGCTGGTCTTGAACTTCCGGTGACCTTCCTGCTTGTGCCTCCTGAGTGCTGGGGTTACAGTCATGAGCCACCAGGGCTGGCTCTGCCTCTTCCCACCTCTTTCTTTTGTTGGGGGGGTGGTTTTCAGTTTTTCGAGACAGGGTTTCTCTATGGCTTTGGAGCCTATCCTGGCACTCGCTCTGTAGACCAGGCTGGCCTCCAACTCACAGAGATCCGCCTGCCTCTGCCTCCCGAGTGCTGGAACTGAAGGCTTGCGCCACCAACGCCCCACTGTAGTATTTTCTTCCATCGAGAGGCAGTGGTTACCTGCTTTTTCTAAGTTTGGTAGCTTCAGAGATGCTTGTCTAGTTCAGTGGGAGATGAAGGAGTTGGCACTCAGGGAAGCTAACTCTGGAAAAGAGTGAATGACTCCAGTCTGGGCACAAAGCCAGGCAGCTGGAGTGGGGGCCCAATGGTTGACTCCAGGAGGGCAGTCGCTAGCCCTCATTGTGGTGGGATCTCCATGGAGGCCTCTTAAGCTGTGAGAGTTCGGTCTGTCTCCAGCCCCACCCCCACCCCCCAGGAAGTCCACAGGAGTTTCACCCCAGGGCTCTCAGACACTCCAGTTAGAACCTGCTCCTCCATCACCCTGGTACACCAGAGAAGCCCCCTTTACTACTGTATCTTTTTTTTGCTGCCCCCAGAGTGAGGCAGGAACAGGAGGTGCTCAAGTCTGTGTGCAAGGAGCAGGAAGGCAGAGCCCCGGGTGGCTGCATGGCCCAGTGCTGCCAAGGTGGAGATGTTCCAGCCAGTCCAGGCAGGCCGTTACTGTCAGGCCTCCCGCTTGTCACAGTGCCTGTCGCTTCCTTCCCAAGTGTCTCTGCCATCTGTCCTTGTTCCCACCAGCTTAGCACTCACACAAAGCCGCTGTCGTGGTCTTCACTGAGGCAGGTGGTCTTGTCCTCACAGTCATGCTTGGGGACC